CCCCCCCCCCGGTTAGTGACTGGGGACAGGAGGACCCTGGGTGCCCCCCAGACCCAGGAGGCAACAGTTGCTGAGGCGGGAGGGTGCGCAGGGTGGGTGGTGGTCCTCCCACACATGGTCCACTTCTGGATCTGCTGCCAACCATGCTGGGGAGCCCCCCTGTGCTTCTCTGGGACACTGCATCTGCCTCAGCACCGCAGCAAGATAGCAGGGGTTCTAAATGAGGTATGTAGAAAAAGCATTTAAAAAGATGAATCCATGTCCAAATTGATTTGGAGAGATCAAAGGGTCCTCCGATTCAATTCTGGGATTCAGAGATTTGGCCACCAAATCGGGCCAAAGTGAACCAGGAACCAAAGCTTTGTACACCCCCCCAAAGTTAAACAAACCAAAACACACACAACTCATGGCTGTGATTAATACACATAGCAGGAACTTACTTGTATAGTGTGATGGTAGATGAAAGAGCATTGGCAATAAGGACTGCCACTACCAGGCCATAGATGGCTATGATACCTGCCATGACAACAGGGATGATTGATTTCATGATCAGCTCAGGCCTCATGACAGACATGGCTGCAATACCCGTGCCACTCTTTGCTGTCCCATAAGCAGCTCCCAAGGCTAGGAGAGACAAGAAAGCCATGAGGTTAGAGGAATTTACATGTAGGACACTCAGAGCATAGTTAAAAACCCATTACCACACCCCTGTATGTATTTGAAAGTCTTTCTGTGATGCACTTCCTGAAACTGGAAAGACTTAACAGTTACGCGACAAATTCCATTTGCGTGTTGGTGGACAAGGCAGACAGATATGGTGGAAATAGTGGAGTGATTTGGCCAAGGTCCTTCTGCAACAACAGAACAGATCTGCAAGATGGTCTAGTCATTAGACGAGGCAACCTCTCAACTGCCATATGGCTACATTCCCTAACACTGCAGCACAAGTCAAAACCTGGGGCAAGTTTTCACCCAGATGTAGTACTTACTGTCCTGTAGCTTAGCAGAAGCTGTTGTGTCAATTCATTTTTGACTCAGTCTACAGGAGCTCGGCATAGCTGACATATCTAGAAACTACGACATGCATTCAGACACGCATGCATGCCAGGCTGGCTCTGTGCTACGCTATGTGGGTCCTGGACTTGCAGCCAGGAACCATAAAGTGAAAGAGAGCCAGCCTGTCCTGGCAGCACATGGTTTCCAGCTGCAAAGCTGGGACAAAATGCAGCAAGGCATGGAGAAGGGCTGGGCTATGCAGTCCCTGGCCTTGCAGTTGAAGTCACATTATGTCAGGCTGGGTTGTGCGATTGTCAGGGATGGTGGGACTGTTCTGCTTCCCTAGTCTCCAGCCCCTGCTGCTGCTGCC